CTGGGACGGTTTCGGTTGTTACGATATTCTTTTCTTCGAGTATTTTGTGGGGGCAATGCACTCCAATAACACCTTCCTCTTGCTCCCAACCATGTGCTGAATGCTTCTAGCGTCATCTTCACCTGACCTTCACCAACTTTTGTCCGCCAGGCCTTTGCATCCTCCTGTGGTAACTTATCAGTCAGTTCATAAATAAGAGACGACACAAATGGAGATTCTCCCATACTATATCGTTTTAGTACAGCAAGGTGACTTCTCGCTTGATCAACGAAGGTCTGGAAACTAATTGCTAAACTGTCCGGGTCTCCAGAATCGACAGCAGGTAGCGATTTCAATACTTGTAGATGAGCTGCTTGTAGCGTAGTTGGATGACCATATCTATCCCGTAATAGCATTAGGGCTTCGGCATATCCTTCGTCGTCTGGGAATAGACCTGCAATCACTTGGTCACATTCTTTAGAAAGCTTTGTGTGAAGGAATCCCATCTTGGCTTCCGAGGTCATCTTCGTATTGTGTACAAGCGCTTTGAAGAGACCACTCCAGGACAACCACTTCAATGGATCGCCATTATAAATAGGCACATCTGCTCTTACGGGGATTTTTCCAGGGTCCACTGATCGAACATTAACTTTCAGTGTCTTTCGAAATCCAACGATCCAATCTTCTTCACTGGCATTTTCAGATTGGGCTCCCTGTGTCTGGACTTGTTCGAGGTGTTGTACATAAAGTGCAGCCTTTTCTTTACCGCATATCTCTGGCTGTGTTGGCAGGTTTGCAGGCAGTTTTTGTCCGGACTGGTTACACCCACCTCCAATGGCTTCTGACTGTCTTTCAGCTTCCTCTGCTTCTAATTCGAGTCGAGCAGCTTCGGTTCTTTTCTGCTGGGCTAATTCTGATAGGTAGGCTGCTTCATCTTTTCTCTTCTGTTCAGCTTCAAGTTCTTCCAGTTTCTGCTTGTCAGTTTCATCTTGATCATCACCTTCCACTTGGGGCTCGGGGGGTGGACTACTGTGCTGTGAACTAGTCTCTGAACCGACGTATGTCGAGGTCTCACCGGTTCGGTCTTGTAGATGTTCCTGTACCATGCCAGTTATGCAATTTACGTCGACTGTTAAGTCAGTGAGGATATACATGTCCGCGAGTATTTCTTCATCCCCTTCAAGATACTTTTCGAGCTGGTCATTGTAGGCTACTACTTCTTTAAATTTAGTTTGGATGTCATGTAGATTTCTCTTTATAGCAGTCCGACTACGTTTTTCTTCCATCATTTTGTTGGTCGCATTAATATATCTGGTGATCATCCCTATTGCAACACGTCTCTTGAAGCGAATGCTTTTGATTGCTTTGGAGAGGGGGGTTGATGGGTCTTCTCTAACATGTCTTGAACTGTCTACCTTCTCAATGTTCTGATCGGCTTGAGGGATTTGGCTTGTTTCTGGGACTTCCTCATGATCTATGTCATCCTTTTGAGATCTTTTATCCTTTCGTGATCTTGTATTTTCGGCTACAGACATTATTTTATTCCAAAATTATGTCCCACAGTTTCTCAGTTCTGTCTAGTTTTGCTCTGATCCGGCTCGAAGGACCAAAATGTTCACGCCTATGAGCCTCGTTTCAATGTTTGTTGACGACCAACCCACGCGCCTTCAATACTTGTATTTGGGGACTGTATATTAAATGTTACATGAAGTACACACCACTCACAATAACGAACGGTTTTATTTTTCACGCTAAAAAGACAAATATTCATAAACTTACAAAGCGAAATAATACAGAAATACCAAAACATACATATGAACCTTACACAATACATAAATGAATAAACTGAGACTGTCTAAGTTAAAATATTACGACCGTCACATATACGGAAATAAATCAGTCAAATTATGCTCATTTTTACCGTTCAAAAACAGTCAAATCTTCTTGATTCAAGCCAGCCAACAGAGCAATACAAAATCGACAATAATAACAAGTTTTCGCGATCCAAAAGCGTCCAAAACAGCGTACAAAACGACCAATTTCCTTTTAAACAACTCAGTTCTCTCAAAACGTCACGACAACGTTTGTTCTTGAGCCCGCAGTATAATAAACGCATACTTCATATAAAGTTTCTCAACGCCCGTCCAATCAGTTTTCAAGAATAAATATTCATGTTCACTGATTGATCGCGCTCTTCGCATGCGTGAAAAGACTGGGACTGCATGGCCTTCAGATTTGGCTTCAAATTTCCTGTTGGAGGTAGCGTTCCAGTTCTGTATATCAGTGGTTGCTAAGAATTTGTTCTACAGGGTGTATAAAAAAAAACGCAACCTCGGAATTTCCTAAGAAATCACTTTGCAATTCTTAAGCATAAAAGATTTTAGTCCCCTGGGAATCGAAATCGAATTACTAATAGATCATATTACTGTTGTTGTGCATTAAATAATACATAAATTTTGCTTTATGCACTCGCGTGTGCAGTAATTTTGACTGTTGTGCTATTTTAAATTCCCAGGCACCTAAAATCTTTTGTCTTTAAAACAATGTCGATTTCTTGCGAAATTCCGACGTTGTGGTTTTTTATACACCCTGTACAGGGTGTACAGGTATAAAAAAAAGGAGACCTTTAGAAATCAAGCATATTGTTAAAATTTGAATGCCTTTTCAATTGCACATATGCTGAACCGTGGTGCGTGAAATATTGATGAGTGCATATATTAGAAAAAGGAGACCTTTAGAAATCAACCATTGTTATAATTTGAATCCTGGAGCACTTTGCTAAGCCCACGAGTGCGTAACATGCGATCTACGTACAGTATGCATGGCAGATTGTTCCCATGCAGGAGCAGACAATCTTTTGTTTAAACGTTATTTCAATTTCTAAAGGTCTCCTTTTTCTAATATATGCACCCCATCAATATTTCACGCACTACGGTTCAGCATATGTGCAATTGAAAAAGCATTCAAATTTTAACAATATGCTTGATTTCTAAAGGTCTCCTTTTTTTTATACACCCTGTATATACAGTATACAAATCTTAACAAAATAAATTTTAAAAATCTTCGTTGACTTGAGTAAGAGATTTGGCAGTATAGTAACTGTAAGGCATATAGTTCAGTGTTTGCTGCTATGTAGCAGCGTAAGCTTTATAGGATGATGAAGCGTCAAGTGGTTTTAAATTAATTGATTAGAGGGCCATTTATAGGTGTGCTCATCGACAACATCAAAAAGTTGTGCTCATGGTCAACAATAGCGTTTTTAGTCTACGACAAAGGCGACTAAAATTGTATTTCCTTCAGCATTCGTCTAGCTGTTCAAACTGCTACATCATTTTTACAGCTCATAAACACTACAGCAGTTAAAATGTTCAATGTCTTGCGGATTGCTTAATGTGAATTCACTGCAGGCTATTGATTGGCATTGCTACGTAAGGTTGTTTGAAAAGAAAACTATTAAAGCAATAAAGGGAAACGGCAATATATGTTTTATTTTCTCATTTGAAAGAACTTTTAAGACTATATCTAATACTCTTTTACCGTTTTTTCATATCTTGCTTACTTTTACTAATATTTTGATCGAAAGGAATGAAATGTCTGCCATATCTTCAACTTCTGTAGATATATGCATGTCACAACGGGGATCACGCAATATTTTTTATCTAGACTAATAATCACTCAAAACTATACTCTGTCTGCCCTTCGAAATGTCAACTAGATCACCCAAAACCTTTATAACATCTACCAACCAATATTTGGTCAGCGACGAACCAAAATGGTGGACATCTCATTATTTCAAGTGAAAATATTTCAAGAACTAAGCAAGATATGAAAAATTGGTAAAAGAAGTTAATATATATAGTTTCAAAAGTTTATGCTAATAGCAGCTCGCAAACTAAAATGTAAGTGATTTTATTTTCGGTTGTCAAACTCTGTACGTAGCGACGAGCTTAGTTGACTTATTTCGAGTCTTCGCTTGAAACGTCAGTAATTGCTGTTAATTATCCTTTTCTTGTATATATATGTTCCGTGAGCAAAACCGCGCCAGTCTTTAGTATTTACAGTCAAAACAAAAGGGCGGTGCTTCCCTATTATTTCAAAATTAATTTGCAACCGTTATGTTTTTGTTCAAGACGTCAAGCCGTTTTCGAGCAGATGGCCTATGCACATTAACATATTTAATAGGTTGGGATAAAACGCGGATGCGGAGTTGCGATATTACGGAAATTGAATTGCGGGAGCGGAAAACGGGTTAAAACGCGGGAAAGGTTAAAACGTGGAAACGGTTATACTGCAACACCCGTTACGAATATTCCCCACTTATTTTGTCATATTTTGTCCTTTTTGCTACCTTCGCAATCCCACTTCTGCAATTCACTGATTCCGTAATACCGGATCCGCGTTTTATTCTAAACCGAATAGTTAATTAATGCAGCCACCAGTCAACTGAATATTTGGCGTTTCTGTGAAAACAATAGCTCGCGATAGCTAACGTAAACGCTTCGGCAAATAATGTCAAGTGAAAAATGAGTAAATTTATAAACTGAATGACCCAAATTTTATCCGCGGCAGCGTTTTCAAACAATCTCGGAGTAAATTTCGACAAAATTAAAGGAATGCTTTTTTCAATATTCAAAAGACAAAATACGACAAATATGACTTGAATATATTATATAGCACATTACGGTCGAATATTCTACTACGTTTGCCTGGCAATTTAGCCATTTATTATTAACTATTTCAAAAATGCCCGAATTGTACAGAATTCTATTCTTATGGCAACTGAGAAAGATCTAAAAATAATGAGGTTATTTCAAAGTATCTAGCATGCTATTAAATTGCTTAAGTAACGTTTAAAGAGACCGCTTAATCGCTTTCAGCCACCCGTGGTCGGACCGACACGCGTTTAAACGAGCACAATTTGCAAAATTTGACAGCCAAATGTCAAAAACACAAGCTGTTTAAACGCTAAACGCAGCGTGCTGTAAATTTGAATATTTTTAAGAAGTAAATAAAACGTTAACGCGTATCAAAGCACAAAGGACGGCGTATATGATCACCTGACAGAAGGCATTTCATATGCTATATAAAAGTTTAGTCACGATCAGGTAAATGTTTCATTAATAATGGTTTTTGACTTGAGTTTTCGAGCAGAATTCACTTATATGCATGAGTTAATTATAAAAGCAATATAATGATGCACGTATATCATGTTAGCCTTTTGGCGTAGCAGAAATTCTTCAAACACAAACGTGAGTTTTGTGAAGGGCATTTGAAAATAAACAGGCATCGTTTAATTATGATAAAATGTACAACAAAATTTCAGTGCGATCTAGAGTTTATACATACTCAAACTTGTACACGTTATGTCGTTATCCCATCGAAACGGTACTCTATTTCATGTGCTATTAAAGTTTATAGATACAATTTAAACATATATCATGCGAGGATTTTAGATACATAAAACCCCATTTTAAGGCCTGGTTTCTATATGAACGTAATGGTCGTTAAAATAGACTCACGCGATCTTTCTCAACGGCTAGTTTAGATATTAGTTTTATTATAGTTTATATCTGTAAACCACATATAAATCATAAGTATTCTCTTGTTATAATCACTCCGCGTATTCAGTTCAGTTCTAAAATGTTGTATTTCGGCTGATGAGAAAGATCGTGACTCAATTTTTACGACCATATCAAGCCAGCTAGGCTTTGGATTAATGTTTAACAAATTTACAGTTTTGTGCATCTCATATATACATAGGCCATCGTTATTCTGCCATTAATACTCGATTCAGCTTTTGTTACTTTATAAAATTTAAATATAATTGGGGGATGTAAAATGTATATGCGTCGTTTTAGATGAATTTATGTAACAAATGCTCATTGATCATAGACAAAAATTAAAAGTTGTAATAAATTTGTTCCATTGATCATAGACAAAGTAAGTTAATTTCAGTAAACATATATATGCTGATGCACATGCGCGTAAAATGTAAGGTCTGGTTTCCATTATATGGTCGTAAAGATTAAGTCACGGTCTTTCTCGTTAGCCGAAATGCAACATTTTAGAACTGAAAATACGCGGAGTGATTATAACTACTTGTTATTTATATGTGGTTTACAGGTATAAACTGTTATTAAACTGGCCGCTGAGAAAGATCGTGGCATTACGACCATATGGAAACCAGGCTTAAATATTTAAACAAAATTTACAAAAGCATTTTGTTTTTACTTTTGTGGGACATGTATAAGAGGGATCATTTCCTTGCTGGACCTTTTGGAAGACAGCTTAGAACTGATAAAGCTATCCAGTATAAATAAAGGCTAGCTTTACATCCTATATTTATTTTTACATATAGTTAATCGATCTTAATCTACGATATACCTGACGATGAACTACGCAGTACATTCGGCTACCGCCGTAGCATTTTCGTGCCGGCGACCATCTGCAGTTGCAACGACATTTGGGAAAGTCATCTGCAGTCCGTCCGGACCGCCGAATACCGAACGACGTATTACGATCAACGTCGGAGGGGAGCGATTCCAAACGTACGAGAATACCTTATCTCGCTACCCAGACTCGTTACTAGGCTCTCCAGAGCGCCGCCAGGAATTCTACAACGCGGGAAAGAATGAACTAGTTTTCCCGTCGCAAAACAAATACGTTTTCAATGCCATCCTATTCTTCTACCAAGCTGAGATTCTATCCCGACCCGACGACATCCCGTTGGATGTTTTTATCGAGGAAATAAAATTTTTTGACTTGGCTCGATATAGCGTCGAAGTTCCATTACCGGCGTTAAAAACCGAGTATGTTCCGCCGAATAATACCGCGAGGCATCGCGTTTGGAACTTCATGGAAAATCCACAAACGATAGCTGGCAACCTTTTCGCAAGATTCAGTCTATTTATGGTTTTTCTATGGCTGATTATGCTATGTCTTGAGACAAGCGCGGGAAATTCAACAATTGAGAAAAATAGTACAAAGTTGGCAAGTAGACTAAATTTTTCAGAGTTGGATACCCAAAATCAAGTCAGTAATATCAAAAACGGCTTGGAAAATGAGAAATTCAATTTGGATTTAGTAAACAACGCTACGGATGCGCCTCAAGAAACGCCTGATTCTGAGGCAGGCTATAAGGCCTGGAAGAGTAGTACATGGTTTATATTGGACACGGTATTTGTAATTTGGTTCACCGTTGACTATCTGTTACATATCACATGCGAGCCGAGTTTACGATCTTATATTCTGTCTCCAATGGGACTTATCGACGTGGTTACCATTCTTCCATATTACATAACCGTTATTGCTCAATTCAGCGGGGCCACGCTCTCACCGCAAATGGGTCTGCTTAGATTCCTTCGAGTATTTCGGCTTTTCAAAGCTACCAGATACAGTAGCGCGTTCAGAATCCTGCTCGGATCTCTAACATCCAGCGCAAAAGATTTTCCAATTTGGTTCATAATAATGGTCATGCACATCGTATTCTTTTCGAGTATTTTGTACTACATCGAGAGCGGAGTTAATAACCCACAGTTCTCCAATATTCCGGAAGTCATGTATTTTACTGTTATAACAATGTGTGCGGTGGGCTACGGCGATGCCGTGCCGCAAAGTGCTTTGGGTAAATTCGTGACGTCACTCGCAGCCATCAGCGGTATCGTAATAGTATACTGCATACCAGCACCAACTTTGAAAACAAACTTTAATCGCTTGAATGAACTTCATAAAAGTGAGAAAAAGGAACGGGAGAAGCTGAAACTTAATGGCGGACTTCACAAGCCGAATCATAAAGCAAATCACCATTCCTCGTCGAATAATCATTGATTTTTCGTTGCCTACAATTAAGAGTGTCCTGCTGTATAAGGTCTTCAAAGAGAATTCGGCGCCGTAGCAGAAGAGCTAGCCCTGAGCTAGCCTAGTAAGACTCGGAGATCTTAATAGAGGTTGCAGTTTATGCAATTCGGAAACTGATTTAAAACTAGCAAAACCAAAACGAACTTCCTCAAGCGAAGCTTTAGATCGGGAGTAGAGTGTGCATGTCGATGTTGTGGAACAATCTTCCATCTGAGGCAAAAAAAATGGGACCCCACTTTATCAATTTAGACGATGCGTTGCCGATCTGCCGTTTACTGAAACCGCTTAGATTTGAATGTACTGCAGTTTATATAGACTGGCAGATGGCTACGTGTATACGTCTTTTTTGTCCTTGAACCTCTTCAATTTCCTTTTCAAGTGTTTAATTTAACTTGTAAATAACCTAAAGCATAGCAGTTGTAGATATAGTAATAGTAATTACTACGTTCACACAAAGGCCTGAGTGGTTTTGAAAACGGCGCGGAAAACGGTCACAATTATCCGTCGCGTTCACACAACGCCGGAACGAAATTGTGTGAAAAGGTCACTTTTGCCGAAACAATTTGAGCACGGTTTCTAAACGGAGCGAGATATGAATACGAAGCGCTTGGCGGCTTCGTGTAAACACAAACGCCGTTACTTTTTTGTATCGCTTGCAAACCAAGCATCTCAAGTCTCAAAACATTAAACTCGAATGCTTTTCGTTTAAATTTCAGTTTGCTCTAATTGAAATATTTTGGGTTTACACGAGTGCTAATTTAATTTGTAAACAAACTTGCTCCGGTCTATAGTGTGAACGTTGTCTAAGTATTTGGGATTTTGTAACTTACTACCAATTACGTCCCTCTATAAACCAGCTTAGCGGTTCGTATTTCAAAGCATGACGAAATAAAATACAATACAATACAATACAACAATACAATACAACTTTATTTCACTCTTAGATAGAAATACATAAATAATACACAATTTTTAAACAATTGGTACATAGATAGAATTTATATTTTAAATAACATTTTTAGAGCTTGAAAGCTAAATGAACCGTTTGGTTTTCTAGTTAGCTTCCATTGAATTTTATTCTTATTAGATTAAGCCATGTTTGTATGTGCAGGGATGGATTTGCATTTAACAGCACTTCCAGCCCTTGTGAGAGGGGGTGCTATTTTTCATGATAAAGCAAAAAATATTGGAGACAAAATGAGGTATAGTAATTTGAGTAATAACATGATGATAAGCGACCTGTGACCAACAATTACAATTCAAATACCGTCGTCAAGCAAGACTTTGCAGTTGTCAAGCAAGTTGATGGCCGGGCGGCCCACATGACCGACACAACTCGTGAACTCGGCGTCAGAACTGGCAGAGCACCCGCCCCCTCCCAGCCAGATCATGCTGGATCCATCCCTGCGTATGTGTGTATGTACGTAAGCAAAGCCTTTACAAGTTGTTTGTCATGACCGAAGTTCTCAATTTATAGACTACAGTCTACACCCAAAAATTTTGAAGAGTTTTTAAATACTTTGTCTTTGAAAATAAACCTGGGCAACTGATCGACAGGGTCCTTATCGGCTTATCGCCCCCTGGGAATCGTAGAAAACCTTGGGCTTCAGGATTTTTATTTTCTTGAAAAGTCATGGAATTTCACAGAGACCTCTGAAAAACATTGGAAAATTATACTGATACAGGCCTGATACTTCTGTGTAAGATAGTTAGAGGATTAAACGTCCTGTTTCAATACGATTGATTACAAACTACTTTCTTTTGCATATTTTGAATATATAAAGCATGAGCTGGCGCCGTGTTATATCAGATATAAAACATGAGGCGAAAATACGGACTGAGAATATTTTAAATAGCTTGAAAAACGACCCGTCTTATGAGTTCATTGGCGAAGTAATTTTAAAAATAACCGTTGAAAAAGAAGCCGAGAAAAAGCTAAAGATTATGTAAATTTTAACATGATTTCTTTGTTGATTTTTTGTTCTTTTGTTTGTTAAATTAAACTTAAGTTAATCGATCTGTTCAAAATTGTTCAATCTATTATTGTAGAATGATCAACGATGATCAATAATCGATTATTTCGGAATTTTTATTCGTTCCAGAGTTCTCACAACTCTTCACCAGACCTCACTCGGTTTTTGGCGGCCATATTGGAACTTTTTGAAATATTGTGCAAAACTATTTGGAAAAGAATTGCATTTTCAGTGTAGTTTTTATGAAACTTTAAAAGTTTTAAGACATGTTTATGCTATTTAGCCAGTGCATAATCTGTTAAATAAGTTTATTTATAAATATTTCGGCAAAAATGCTGCTATTTTGTCCAACTTGTTCAAATGTGTTGTCGGTTGAAGAAGCCACAGGGAAAACGCTCTACAGATTTGCTTGTCCGACATGCCCATATGTTTATAATATTTCCAAAAAGGTAAGATATCGTAGTATATGGACAGTAAATGTGTGAACTATGTATTATAAAGGAATATTCAATATTGTAATGATCATATTTTAATTTTATACTCTGACTAGTCTTTCTGTCTTGCAAACTTGTCCTTTTATTATATTTTACAAACTTTCAATTCAGCATAAATTTTGAATTGTATTTTATTCCATGTTTTGTACTAACAAGTAGTGTATGAAGCAGAATATGAGTATATGACCGAAATTCTCTAGAGATATTTACAACAAGATGGCGGACATTTTGTCAGTGTTTCCATGTCTTAAATGGACATTTTCATGATGGAAATATTAGTGATGGGCGATACCAGGATTTTTAATTCGATACCGATACTTTTAAGATCGGTATCGGCCGATACCGATACCTATTTCGATACCAAAATGAACACAAAATTTCAATTTTTGATACCGGAAGTGAGTACTTAAATTTCTAGTATCGGCTACTTTAGATACCTGCCGGTCAGCGGAAAAACATTTTACATTACTGTATGTAACCTAAATAAAGCTATAAGTAAACCAAAAGCCCGAAACGTAATAAATATTTTCTAACATGACTTGACGCACCACATTTGGAATATTAAGAGTTACTTTAGTGGTTTATTAAGTCTTATTCAACCAAGAAGTGAAATTAAACAAGTCGTTTAAAAAAGGGTGCAAGTATCGAATGATACCACGTCAGTAATCGATACCGATACCGCTGTTTGTGGTATCGCTGGTATCGAATACCGAGTACTCGGTATCGCCCATCACTAGGAAATATGCAAATTTATAAAGTTGATGAGGGTTCATGAGTTGTAAGTACTCTCACTTGCTTTTGACCACCAATTCCAGGGGCATTCAGGTCTTAAAATATATTTTACAGGACCATGTGACAAAATGTCCTTTGAGTTTGGGTCAGTCTCAGATATATGTGTGATGATGTCCAATCATTTATTGGACACCTTCAGTTCAGTTTGGCTTGGAAGTGAGTCGACCTGAATGATGCAAATTAATATCAGCACAATGTATTATTATTTAATTCTGAATCAAATGTTATGAAGATATTAAATAATTTGTGTCATTCATACTTATTTCCAAGCCAGGATTAATTAACTTGCTTTATGTAATGCAATTGCAATAACAGAGTAAGACTTCGACAATTTAAGCTTGTTTTCCACTTTGCCATGTTGCCTGCCGTGGTGTTCACTTTTTATACATTACTCCGATTCTCTATTTAACATATGAGCCTCTAGTCCTGGACTATGGTACATTTTGATTTATGTCGAACAAAGCTACAGTGCAGTTGGTCGGACACCAATACACTCGGGTCAGACAAACAATAAACCTTAATTTCACTTAGGTTTGACAGAATGTCTGGTGGTTTTCTCTCTATGTCTGACCTCTCTATGTCGGACTATAACCGACCAAAATTGTAAGGCCTGCTTCAAAAATATGTTAAAACTATTGTTCTCTTTCTTGGGTTGGTCCTAATATGGGATCGGTGGTGCAGTCATCGAGCAAGCACCTTTCACCCTTGAGCTTGATTCTCACCATGGACTCATGTGAAAAGAGTCGGTAAACGCTCTGCCGAAAGTCATGGGTTTTCTCTGGGCACTCCGGTTTCCTCCCGCAGGGAAAGTTGACAGGGTGGGTTAGGATAAACCATAGCCTATCGAAGGGAAGATGGCTGTGAAACTCATTAGAATAACAATATAACTCATTATCTATGTTAGTCAACGTTTATTCATAAATCTGGTCCTTCACCGTCACGTGCGTATCGTATTCTTGCATGCCCAACTAACCAATAGCAATGTTTTAGGAAAGTCACCTATCCATGACTCGAACAATAGGGAAACTGGAAATTGCTATTGGTGGATTTGGTAAAAATACAATACACACGTGACGGTGAAGGACCAGATTTATGAATAAACGTTGACTAACATAGATAATGAGTTATACTAATGAGTTTCACAGCCATCTTCCCTTCGATAGGCTATGGATAAACATAGTTAGGAAAGTAATATCACAATTGTTGTAAAGATAATTAGTCTAGGCTAAGTAGATAGTACAAGTAAACGTAATACATGATGTATTGATGTAATCAGTCACTGAAAAGCCCCGTTGGGGAGTGAGCTGAATAATATATGTACAGGGTGTATTAAAAAAAACGGAGTCGTCCTAAATATCCTTATTTCTATCGTAAAATAAACTACCATAGCTTCGTTTTGGGCTCAATTTAAAGCTTGTTTTTTCATCTTTCGAATGAAGGGTTTCTTGAAAATTTTGAACGAAGGCTAATCGCAATGAAAAGAATTTAGTACAAGCGCTCGTTTTTAGATGCTTCGAAATATTAGTCTTCGAAGTCCCTTGGGGACTTAATTAAAGGTAGTTTGCTAAAATTTAGAACGTTGTTGTTTAAAACTTTACAATTACCATTCATAATGCCAAAGCTAACAATTCCGGAAAGAACATTCATTGTTGAAAAGTATTTTGAAACAAAAAGCGTTGTTGCAGTGTTAAGACTGCATCATCGAGCGTTTGGCGTAATGTCAACAAATACCAGCTGCATATGCATTGAATGGAAGAACCACCCCATAAAGTTTAAATCGAAATAAAGGAAACTCAGGAAGAAGACTTGTCTTGGATATGAGACAAAGAACGAACTTGTGTGAAATTAGAAATGGAGGCCACGTTGAGTAAATGTGTACTTCCAACTTATTTTTTGGAACGTTTAAATAAATTGTGAATTCAACACATCTACGTTTTTTATGTTTCATCTATGTTTGATTATAAGGTTGGCAGCAAAATTTATCCGAAATTGAAAGAAGTAGATGATGTTCTTGGTGGCAAGGCAGCGTGGGAGAATGTTGATTCCACACAAGGTGGGAATTATCAAGGCTTGAAATTTACTCTTTGCCACTGGTCTGTATATATAGTAAAATGCCAGATAGAACAGTAGACCTCATGATCTTGGTATTCCGTTTGTACTGATTGTACAGTCGAGAGTTTGAGCAAGACAACAAAATATGAAGACGTATATATTTGACAATTTTTCCTCGTCTACACATCGAGGGCGCATCTACCATACATTTTCTGCTTTTCGAAAGCGATTAATAGGGGAACTTCTACTGTCACTTTAACAAGCAAATTTACTGATTACTGTGCTGTGCTACATCAACTGTCCGGTCATGCATAAAAGTTATAAACTTTATAGTAAGATAATGTCAAACGTAACATAATGGCAAACATGCGTTAGTACCATTGCAGACTGCAAAAGAGAGTGGGCAGTAAGGCTCTCTCAAGTACCACCCCATGGAAAACCTGCACCCCTCCTAACTCCTTGCAGATGAGGCTTGATCCGCCCCTGATTCTGAGTTTGGGGTCGCTCGTGGTTGCTCAAGACACCTTCGTACTTCGTTCTCGGTTACTGAAACTTTCTAATATGTGTATATTTTTCAGAACGATGTCCGAAGTGTGAGCATGATCGAGCCTACTTCGTGCAGATGCAAACGCGTTCAGCAGACGAACCAATGAC